GTCTAACAATTCAAACACGTTCGGTACATCTTATTCTCCTACTTCCGTTAAAATGTATTTATAATATTATTTATCTATACTAAGTATCTATTACTCAGGTTTTAATAATAGGTATATGGGATATATTCTACACACTCGAGTTCATGAAAATCATCAAATTACACAATAGTATCTGTAATATTATACAATTAGAATACTCCCAATGCGACGGAATCTTTCACGATCTGATTAAATACAAATTAAAATAATTATTTTTCGACAAACCCCCTCTCCGCGATTTAAATTACTTATCTGTGAAATAATTCGATATATTATAATAATTTGTTACCATCCCTCGGATATTATAGTTTTATACCTAACTTAGAAAATTTAAATTCGAATTTATTTACTCATCTTTTAGCCCGACTTTTGTACTTTTTTTCCGGCATAATATTTACTTCCAGCTATTGCTTTCCAATGTCAAGTCTCCCCGATTCGCTCTATGCTTATATTTATTCCACGGTTCATTAATAATATCGTCACGTCTTAATCTTGAATGTTAACTTGTCCTTATATACCTTCATAGCATAGCTTAAAAAGCAATCTATATTTACGTCTGTATTCGTCTGTATTTTAAGTGATTCGCCCACAGTTAAGTCGCTTCGTTGTAATATTTACTACGATATATGAATTCCTAACAAGTTTCTGCCCAATTTCTATTATTCCAAATTTTCTATTTCGCTGTATTTACCTTGTCTAGTTCTAATTGATACACGGATAAACGATCATCAGTGCATTTATTTATACCTTAGTGTACTTACCTTATTGATACATATATTATGTTTTTCTCGAATATATTAAAACGACACCCAGTGATGTCAGACGATTTATTAAGAACTCACCCTCACTTGGGGGATAACTTTAATATTCCTCCTTATGGTTTCATTAGGCAATTATTATTGACGATTGAGGCCCATCGCTTGATATCAAGATCTCTCCATCATGTACACGTCATCGTTTTCTTAACAGTCGTCGTTGTGGCCGTTTTGAGTGCTAACTCCATTTTCTATTTCTTTTTCAACAATCCAAACACTTGCGGTACATTTATTCTGCTTTTTTTCGTTAAAATGTATGTGTAATACTATTTATCTGTACTAGGTACATTATACTCAGGTTTTAATAATAGGTATGTAGGATATATTCGGCCTTCATAATTATATGAAAACGGCTGAAGTCCACAGTAGTATCTTTAATAGACGATTTGAACATTTCTAATGTGATCAGGATCTGAACAAATAAAAATTTAAAAAATTAATTGCCGATAGACTATCCCCCTTCCCCGGTCTTAAAATAACTTATTGATAGGTACTTATCCGTGGAGTATATATATATATATCTACATAATAATTACTTACCATCCTTGGAGTATTATAATATTTGAATACCTAACCTAACCTTGTCAAGTTACAGTTGAATTTATTTACACATTTTCTGCTCTTTATCCCGCCGTAATATTCTTCATACGTAAAGGTCTTCCTATATTTCATCGTTTTCTAAACACTCTTCGTGGTCGTTCGGATGCGGCTTCTTTTTTTCTTTTCTTTCGTTTATCGTTTTCTAATGATCCAAATTCTTGTTGTGCGTTTTATTGTTTAACGTTTGTGATTGATTATTTATAATATAACTAGTTGTGTCGACCGGCGTTGCCGTGCAAAATAAATGTGTTAAAAAAACTATTTCTCCCTTGATTTATTTTTTAAGTCTCTGTCACCATAACTGCAGTTATTTGTTGTTGCTCTTAAATGTTTAAAAATACATTTTCTGTATTTTAGTATTTAAATTTATATAAATTATTATAAGGTTGCTAAGTAAAAAAATATCTGATTTTCTTATATCCATAATAACCTAATTGATACATAGTCATACATCTTTCCGGCATATATTTAAACGACCACTGTCCACGTTTGTATCTTCACGAACGATCACAATTCCAAACGCAGGCCCGATCTAAATTATCAATTAATATTCGACCCCCCTCCCCATCTCCCTCTGATCAGACGATTTATTAAGGACTCACACACACTTAAGGGATAACTTTAATATTCTTCCTAATGTTTTCTGCTCTTCGGACACATTATGTTAAAGACGATTAATGTCCATCGCTTTGATATCAAAATTCTCCATTATTTACACTTCATCGTTTTTCTAGCAGTCTTTGGGTTTAAATATTTCGAATATAATCACGGTCTGAATAAATACAAATTAAATTGTTGAGAAACCGTCTCCCCTCTCGTCGTGTTAAAAAGTAACATTTTGATAGGTACTTATCCGTGGTATATATAATAATTAATTACCATTCTTCGAATATTATAGTTATTTTTCCTAACCTTGCGCAGTAAAATTTTAATTTTTCTTCTGTCCTTTTTTCCAGCGTAGTATTTATCTCCATTACTTTCCAATGCCAAGTCTCACCAATTCACTCCATGATTAAATTTTAATCTACATTTTCATTATAAATCTTTATAATTGAGGATGCTCAGTTGTGTTTCCCATACGAATTAGATATTTTACTAGCACACTTATCAAAAACGTTCTATATTTTCGTCTGTGTTTGTCTGTATTTTTCTTGATCAGCTCACTTTTAAGTTGTTTTGTGTCAATGTTTTTTACCATATTCAAATTCCGATATAGTTTGGCCGAATCCCAGATTATTCCAGTTTTTTTACATATCTGTATTTACTTTGTCTAGTTCTTGTTAATGTAGAAATAAAAGGTCATTATTGAATTAATTTATACCTTAATATACTTACCTATTTTATTCATTTTCTGTCTTATTTGAATGCGTTTAAACGACCATAGTCCACGATAGCCTCCTTAACCTAATGATTTAAAGAGTCTAACACAAATTTTATGTGAAAGTCAATCTAATAATGATAATATTAAATTAAATTAAATTATTTATAGTCAAGGTTAAGTACTGGTATAGGTAAAGCTGTATTTTTACGTATGGGCAATAATCTTAAAACTGATTCAAACCAAAATTATGTTAAACAAACCCATCTACTATGTTACTTTTACTTAATTGAATTATATTTTGAATTGTATAAATGTCTATTATATTAATCAAACATTGAATAATATTCACGAACTCCGTATACCAGACACTACCTATGTATCTCAGTTGGGTATATACGTATCACCTGTTAATATAATATTATTTAAAAATGAATTCCACAATAGTAACCATGATACCATACGATCCGAATATTCCGTAAACGATCACGATCTGGATATTAAATACGAATTAAAATAATTAATTGTCGACGAACCTTCCCCCCGTGCTAAAATGAGACGTATTGATGTATATTTGCCCGCGGAGTTTATGCCTATTATAAATAATTATCATTTTCGAGTATTATAATTTTATACTTACCAATGTACAATGCACAGCTAATTGTCAGTTTTGTTAATACTATACTTAAAGAGCGGCTACAGGCTCGTTCTGTCCGTCCGTGCGTTTATTATCGGTGTGTCTGAACGGTATAATAATCGGCTTATGATCCGTTGAAAATCGCCGGTTGTAACTAGTAACGATGACGAGCGCGCACGAATTCTGCAAAATATTAACTTGTCGACCGGTAAACCGAGTTGAGAAAATAAAAAACGTAAACATTTGAACGACTACGCGAAGACTAACGTTTTTAATCGTATACCGACGGCGAAATACTTTTACGAAATAAACAACTCAATACACCCAGGTACTCGTAATCACCTATATCGAACGTATTTGTTTATATAACTGGCCAACACTGTAAATTACCGCGACGGCCGGCATAGTAACCGTTTTCGTTATAATCGAACTGCAGCCAAAATATACCGAAAACGATTGTGCGCGGAGTTTTGGCGTTTCGATAAACCTAATCGAACACGGTGTAATAACGTACAATGCAGTCTAGTGGATAGGGCCCTAGGTGAATTAGGTTGAGTTAGGCAGGGTAAGTGGCGTGAACAGAGGAGGGGCAGGTTAGGGGTCATGTACCCCCTCTCATTGGCATAAAATTGCAATAAAAAATATGAGAAATGTAATATCAAAATGCGAAAATATCAACCAGTTTACGAGGAAAAGCTCGATGCGTAGTGATTAGAAATTTGCTTGTTTTAGGATCCGGCTTTCCACAGTCATTTCCCACAGTCGAGTCGGATAGAGAAGACGATTTTACCCTTTGTTCACGATTTTTATCTGTTACATTCTCTCCTGTTGAACATTTCTGGGCACGCCACTGGACAATAAATACATTTTATAAAGTTATCGGCATCCATATTACACTTGGTATTGTAATGGTGTATGCTTATTAAATGTTTCAAATGCACGCTTCCGATTATCAAATTTGCATTTTACTAAAGCCCCGAGACTTCAGTTATCAATACCAGCAGCAGATTTTTCAAAAGCAACACATACTTTACAAAAAGCACCACCACATTCCTCTGCCGAGTAAGCTAACCAAGGCCAATTAAATTAAAATCTACTTGTCTAGCATTAACTTTTGTTAACAGGGAATACAAAATTTAAATCGGGTTTCCAAAGATTAGTTAAAATTTCATTTAATTCAACTGGTGTAAACCAAGCTGCGCCTTTTACATTAATATTGTTAACGTCTGGTGCAACAGGAGTGTTTGACGTCTCCGAGGAAACTGATGTTACATCAGTTGGCACAGACGGCCGCCTCGCGCCCCGTGTATCCGTTTCCTATCAATAAATAAATCGCTCATGAAATGAGTTATGCGAAATTGGCATTGCGTTTTTGAAACGACTGTTTCGGTACGAAAAAATAATCCCTGGGGGGAGGGAGTTGTAAACCCCCGGCACTCCCCGTCCCCGGCCCGTAAACGCGCCACTGGGAGGGGGCGGATGTTCGGCGGGACGTATGGTTATTAATTTTCGCGGTCCGCGGGCGTCGCAGCTTTATTACATTGATATTTGTCGGGCGAGAGGAGACCCCGCGGCGGCGCAGCATCCGTCGCCGCCGCGGAAAATCCGGGACGGGTCGGTGTGCGGCGGAAAAATACGCCGCGGCGTGGACGCGATTCCGCGGGCGTTTTCGTTCACGGCGTCTCGGGGGGGGGGGGGCGCGCTTTTATCGAAATCGTACACGCGCGAGATTATCATGTCGAAACGCCGGGATCGAAAAACACCCGGCCGGAATTCACGGGGTAGTCCTAGAGATTGAAAATTTCCGAAAAAATCGGCGCGGGGGAAAACTAGGGAAAATTGAGTGGGTGGAAACGTTTACACAGCAACGCATAATCTATCGTAATTTTAACTGTGCGAACAACTTACTTGCTTATAAACCGCCTTTTTCGAATTTTAAATAATGACACGCACTATCCCGTCCTCCGCCGTTCAACGGCAATGAAACTGTAGCGAACGTCCGATTGCAATACATACGTCATAAAATGATTGATCATTATGTTATCACTTGGACGGTACCACTATCATCGCGGACGTTTATTTGTAATACATTTCCACAGGCGTGTTTTGACGACTGACCGAATGTCACTTGAAAGTTGCTGCAGTATAATTTAAAAACGAGTCGTTTTGGCGATTTCGGTTATTACGTCTTTAGTTATTTAACTATTACTGAAATGTCGTAACCAAACAAAATTAACGGCCATGACGTTTGGTTATTGATAAAGTAACGGTTATATAACTAGCCAGTACTTTGTTTTTTTTTTTTTTTTTTTTTTTTTTTTTTTATTATCAATTGATATTATTTGTAGTAACCATTATACGTGTATTTTTCGCGGGTCTATAACCGTTAACCAATGAATCACACGACCATAACTGATAATGAACATGGCCAGGTTAATCGGTAAAACACACCTCATGTTTCGTATATTTCTTTATTTATTATCAATTATTACTTTATTTGAGCTATTTTTCACGGACCAATGGAAAGAACCGTTTTTTCTAATATTTTTCCAAAATCTCCGTCATTTCGAACACTAGGTAGTCCGAGCGGCCGGGGTCCGGAGACTCGCACCCGGAAAATTCCATTTTTCGAAGTTTCCCCCTCGCGAGATCGGCGTATTCGCCGTTCAGGAAAAGAGGAGTTTTTTCGCGCGTCAATCATAAATATACCTGCGTGTTTTAATTTTTAATTTTTCGTCTTTTTTTTTTAAACTCACTCCGGGGACCACGCGGCCCTCATTCCGGCCCCGGCTGTTACGCTTTCGCACGTCGGCTTGTTCGACGACACCCTCTCGTTAACACTATGTATGCACGCTAATCGCGTATTCCGACGCTCGTCTTCAGCTCCTTTGTCTCCCCTATCTCCCTTATCTCTCTTATCTCCCTTGCCTCCCTTAGCTCCCTAGAACTCTTAACTAGAGTTAAGTCAATCATATTGTAATCATTAGGTTTTTGTGCAGTTCAATTCTAATAAACCTAGTGAAGTTGACTCTACCCCGTTTGACCGCGCGCCGTGTAGATATACACTCTAGTCCGGTGGTCCCCTGATTTTTTATTTTCGCGTTAGACGTCCCATTCGAAATTCGTTTAATTCGGACTTGAATAATACCATGCACAGCTACATAAATAATATGATACTTACGGGTTTCGGCAATCGCCTAATTATCGCTCGCGACCCCGAGGTTGAAAACCACGGCTCCGGTCCCCCCGCCTCGGCCTTTCGGTCCCTTTTAGTCCGGCCACAATTTCGCCGTCGCCGACAGCCCCGTCCCGTATATATCGTACGCTCGCCCGGCGCCCGTCCCCGTTTTTCTTCGCCGCTGCGCACAGGCGGATATTCGATCGCGTCCGCGGTACAGGGGGACGGGTGGGGGGGGAGGGAAATTACGGGATTTCATGCGCTTTCGCTGCTTACACGGGTCTTCTATACGCATATACGGTTGCGGTACCTATTGCGGGTAATATAATACGCGTGCGCGTTTTATTTGTACAACCTCGGCGACTGTCCAATATATTCGTCATCGCCGTTGAAGATCGATTAAAATAATTAAAAAAAAAAAAAAAAAAAACATTTTTGTGGAATATCGACGGGAAAAAAATCCTACGTACGACGACAAACGTTTCGATTAAAAAGCGATTCGCGGATCGTCCGGCGGTTCGGAAAAGTTCCGGTGTGGTAGGGGCTCGAGCCTGTGCGAACGGGAACAGGCGCTACACACACGTCCGACACGTCGGATTTCTGATGGAAAGGTCGCTCGCTGCGCGGCGTAAAGAGGGGACGGAAACGACATCGTTTTAAAGCCAATAAACCCCTCGGCGCGTACCGAGCGCGGTAGAGTACGCGCGCGGGCCGCAGGGCGCGGTGTGGCGCCGCGTTATTATAACGACAACGTTACGCGGGGCGCGCGCGGTCCGCCAAAGCTCGGGAGCGTAACATTCCCGGCGGCGGCGGCGTCGGCGGCGCACGGCGGCTATCGATCCTTTTCGTCCTACCCCACGGGCCCCGCCGGAATAAGCTCCTGCGTTTATTAGGCGCCGGCCGGCGATCAATACGCGCGCGCCCGCTGCGTTTTATACGCGTACGCCGCGTACACTGTGCACACGCGGCTGTAGGTAGCTCCGCTCGCCCGCCCGCCCGCCCGCGCCCTTTTTCGGTCCGCGTGACGTGTGCGTGTATGACGTCGCGGCGTACGCGCACGCCACCCACTAGCGGTGTGCGCGCAGCGATATTCCCGTCCGCCGGGCCCGGGCGCCGCGCGCCGGTAACGAAGAAAACGAAAAAAAAACAAAAAAAAACGAAGAAACGACCGCGAGCAACAGCGCGACGCGCCCATTCCGTCGCGCTCGAGTCGAGAATCATCGCCGTGCCCTCCCTGCCCTCCCCCCGACAATTTCCCTCGTGCGTGCGCGCGCGTAACGGTGAAACGTTCTCAACGCAAACAGCCCATTACCACGGTGCCGGGGTCCGAAAGTCGAAATACCTCCGCATAGTTTATCGGAAATAATTTGCGAATAAAGCGTCGCCGGGCGAACAACCCGAATCTACAAGTGCACGGCTCGAACGAACCGGAAAAGTTTTGCCGATCAAGAGGGATTTTCCCGAGATGAAAATCACGCGTTAGTCAAAACTACAATAACGGCTCGTTCTACACATTATATCCGAACAGAAGCGCACGCGGGATTTTTTTTTGTTTTTTGTTTATAATTATTTCCCAGCACGTTTTGTAAAGTAGGAACCTGCGCAGTACTATCGTTGTTATTACCGAATAAATGATTTTTGACGAAATTCAAATGTATTCCATTCTGCGGTACAAGACATTATGTTGTTGAATTTAAAAATTGATTTTGAAAAACGTAGCGAAGGAAAATTTTTCGGGGGGGGGTGGGGAATCGACCCCCTAATGCTCCTCTGTGTGCACCACTGCATTCGAAATCTAAAACAAATATTCGAACAATTATAAAACAAACACGAGCGGTACGAAAAAGATGTTATCCGAAAAATAATAATTTTTTCAAAGTTCCATCTATTCGTCTTTTTCGGGTAGAGCTGATGATGAATACCAGTGGTGGATCCGTTCACTCCCCGATTCACTCTTACAGCTTGATTTTCGTCGTAAATGCGTGCCTACCCCACTCCCCCCGTTATCCTGGATCCGCCCCTGGCCGAATAAATACTATTACCGACGTGCGTCGTTATAACAGTGTTCCGTTCTATTTCGATTGGCGGAAAACGGAATCGGAATAAGTTGGTATTGTTACGAAACTGTCCCGTGGCTTATTGGTTATTAGATAATTCATCGCGATTTTTGTCGAATTTTCGTCCCCTGGTTAGACAGACGGTTGCGCTGTTTTGTGCGTGTTTTACATAATAAATCAACATCAGACATTAAAAGGAGAATATCATTAGCAAAGCAAGCGTTCCATAATAAGAATCGATTTCTTACCAATAAACACCTGAGTATTGGAGTACATAAGTACGATGAGATATTTGTTTGGAGTGTGCTGACATATGACAGTGAAACATGGACAATGAACAAGAAGTATAGAAGCAAACTGGAAGCAACGGAGATGTGGATGTGGAGAAAAACGGCAGAGACAAGATGGATTGACAAGATGAGAAATGAGCAAGTATTAGAAGAAGTACCGACAAGAGAAAAACAGCTGATGAAGATTATTGAATCAAGGAAATTAAAGTTAGTTGGGCACATCATCCAACACAACGACTTTATAATCGACATTTTGAAGGAAAAATAATTGGGAAGAAATCAAGAGGACGCCCAAAGAAGTCATAAAATTTTGTCCTTTATTTCACTGAAGAAAGTAGCTTCAAACAGAGACGAGTGGCATGACATTTAATTGATGATGACGATATTATACATATTTTTCCGGATACATTTAGACACTTTGAACGGCTCCCTCTGGACCAAAAAAGCTCACACTCGAGAATTAGTTATTTTTATTTATAGACAGGTTGAAGCGATCAAATTTAGGTCGTATTTTAATATGAGCTTGACCACGTGATCACGAGAAAAATACGGTTTTTCAGCTTTATACACTCCGACAAACCCCCCTCAAATGAAACCCGGGGATGAAAACTTGTATACGCACGGAGTATAAGTAACAAGAATATGCTCTATGGAAATTTAAACTTTTAACCTCCTCCCCAAACATTTTTGTGCTCCATGTTTTCACGGGAAACGCCGAGTTTTAAATTCCCTTACAAGCTCACGATAAATGTTGTAACGGTAACAAATTAGCCGGGGGGAAATTCGGCTCTAGTCATGGAACTCTGTTGGTCATGTGTTTTTTTTTTTTGTTACTTACCGTTATATTCGGTATTTTATATTGTAACGGGTACGTTTTGTTCAAAATACAAACGATAAAAATATTGCCTCACACTTCATCGCAAAGTACTAATGATTTTTTTGTCGGTTATAAATATTTTACTAATACTAAATTGAACACCACTCGAAACTCAACGAGCATTATTAATTATTACAGTCGATGTCAATGCACGCAGATGCACTTAATGACGGTCGATTTCTTTTTTAATACATTTAATATTTTTTGCAGTATCTATATATAGGTATAGACGATTGGAATATTTTATCGGTTTACGTTTTTAAAATCGAACCAATGTGCACGTACAATTGATTTCACGTTCAACCGAATCCGGATTAAGACGTTAAGAAACCTTTAAAAAAAAAAAAAAAAAAAACATAATAATAATAGTAAAAAAATTATTACAAATTATCAACAAAATAAAAAAAAAAACATAATATATATATCGGTTGATCTCAATTCAAGAGCCGCGTGTATTATGCTGTAAATAAATAAATAAATGTATTTTGCGCGTCATCAGACAACGGAAAAAAATAAAATAAAATACAAAGTTAATGGTCAAACGCGTATAAAAAAATAACACGAAAAACGAATGCCCTTGGAGTGTTGTAGCCCGAGGACCACGCCCGTCCTGCTCCCCTTAATCCGGACTCGAGTTCAACTACATATATATGCATCGCACAAGTATTAGTGTATTACGTATACATAGTTTAACTATACAAATTGCAATTGGATTCTATTAATTACTGGGTTTATATGATGGCGTTAAAACGGTTTGAAATTAAATCGTTTTAATATAATTCTAAACGGTTTAGCTTAAACCGTTTTTAGATGTTTATGTACGTACACATTATGTTAAATCGGTTTAGCATACGATGCATACATAGGCGCGACTAGATCGCCAATTCTGAGGGCGCTAAACCAAATGTCAGGACACATAAAAGACCCATGGGATCAATGGCCCCGCAATCCTCTGTACGTGACTTTTTACAATAGTTAACTGCACCTTACATTTACGATTTCGTACGTGCAAATTTATCGCGACTATTTTATGACAACATTGTTTTTACATACACACGTGCATTGTCCGTAGGAAACCTGCAATTCGCAGGTGCTCGTTAACTATACGGAATACATGGTTAAAATATTTTTTCGTTGCTATAAAAAAACCTGACTGAGTTCTTCGGGAGTGCTAGAAACCCCCTAGCACCCCCACCCCCTTATTGCGCCCATGAATATACATTGTAGACCGCTTTAAAATTTATTTTTTCACTCCGCGACTCTAGTCGTTTGTTCTAAGAAATATCTGATCACGTATAGATTATATGATTCCGTATCAAGCGACCACTGCTACGGCGACGCGAGTTACAAACGCAAAACGCTATACGCGTACATTTGACAAACCGTTTTGAGCGTGTGAAACGGTTTTAAATTCTTAAACTGCGAATCGCGAGCGCTTTAAAGTGTCTGCGCGACACGAACGCGTTTTAATTTCAAACCGTTTTGACGCCACCGTGTAAACGTACAGTGTAAGTACGATGTCGAACGGTTCGGGAAAAATTTCGTTTCACAATATATGACTGGAGTACACGCGATCCTTTGCCGAGCGCAATTGCACGGTTCTTTAATGACCGCCGCACCCACACGTTATTATCTCATACGCGTTACATGAACTTCCACGTGCGACATTGTTCATAATTAATACGACATTGGGCGCGTTCCCGCGCTATAAGCCGCAGGTTCCGATGCGAGCGAACCGCGATTGAGAGACGTCTCGAGTCGCGGCGAAACATTTGTACGATTGATATTGTGTAGAGGCGCCCCCCATACGGTATCGTTACGAGTTCAACTCCTGTCGATAATCGATATCTGTATATTATCCACACTCGCGCACGGCTAATTAATAATATTAAACTCTAAATTTGTAATTTGTAACCGCGAAAACGATACGCGCTCTATTGGTCCGTATACGCATAGGTATCTATACGCAAACGAGTCGTGGTCTGAATGCAGGAGGGGACTGCGTACATATGTATTATGTTCTTGTCGGGGCCCTTTTTCCGTTTCATTAAGATTCGACGATTTGTATTCAATGTATGTTTTTCAGTAACAACGGCAGCCATCAATATAATATCATCATTTAACGAGGCACTCGTATAGTTTCAAAAACCGACAAAAAGGACCTAGCGAACAGATATCTGAAAATATCGATAAACATTTCAAATTAGATGCCGTCGGGCATCTTTTAAGGTATGACGTGAAAAAACCGGAGCGTTTTTATAAACCGAAAAAATGTTTTCCGAGAAGTAAAAACGTATATCTGTTAACTATAATATACAGCTTCTTGACTGCACTCGGACTCTAAACAAAATAAAAAAAAAAAAAAGACAAAACATTACGGTCCTTTTCGCCTTTTGGTCCGGGGCTACATCCCCTCTCTCCAAGCTCCCTTTAATCTAAGCCTAATCGTCCATTTAGATGATTATAAATTAACACCGGGGTCCTGGGATTTTAGGAAAGGGAATTTGTTTGGTAAAAAATGTCAGCCCCGCCCAAAATTCTTACAGTGTGACCAGAGCATGAGTTTAAAGTGGGGGAACACAAGGCGATTCAGTCCCTTTATCTCTGACCGCTCTTGAAATGCGTCCTCTTCATCGGAATCATTAAAATCGGATCACATTTTCCTTTGCCGGTTTTTGTCACATTAAGCTCTGTGTGGGACCCGATGATATAACCCGTCTTTTCTAGGTAAAATTCTGCATAACATCCCGTGGTATATGTTATTTTTTGTTTAATAATTGAAAAATAAACAATATGCAAGTCTGAAATATTTGTGATAACGCAAAAAACAAAACAAATTGGTTCGTTTGCCTTATTGATGCGCTTGCAGCTAATCTGTGCAAGTTACTTGTGTATTAATTAAATAAACACTCTGTATAGTTTGCATTTTATGCATGTGTGCGTTTAGTTATTATATTAGTAATAATGTTTCATAACGTTTTGCTATTGTTCCTCGTACAAAACATCGTTCGAGTGACTCCACGGGGAGTTATTATGCCTATAAAATCCATCATCGTAATGTGTTCCGTAAAATAAAGAAAAAAATCGTTATTCTTGACTTTCGTTTTTGTCAGCGATAATATTCGTTTCCGTTAACTTTGACTTTGTATCGTTTTGTTCAATTTGTAACCTGTATTCCGGTTAATAAGTCGTGCACCTTATAATAATAATAATAATAACCACTTCAAAAGTAAATAGTAATTTAATTATTTTAACACGGCCTTTGTAATTCCGAACCGGAATCATGCGGGGCTGAAAGGAAATCGAAAAGCGCTTTTTTTTTTAAAAATATTTATATATTTTCAATGATTCTAATTAAAAACTCGAGGAATTTGAATTTGAAAAATGTTTGGTAATGTACAAATAATGGATAGTAAAATAAGGTCAAGGAGGTTAGGGGGAGATATAATATCTCCCTAATCTCCTCACTTAAACTGAGTGAAATACGTCGTTATGTATCGCCGTAATTACGATTATATAGGTACTTTATATTTGTCTTGATAATTACGTGAAAAAACGTTCATAAACAATTTACCTTAGGTTGTCGGTTAGGGAATACGGAGAACACGCACTCGCGTACACAGTTGATAATAATATTTTATGACCGTTTCCGAAAAAGGAGCTTCAACCATATCGCGTCCCGTGGCCAACGCAATACGTAAAATAATAAATAACGGTGCGCGGAATTCGGCCGTTTGTTATGAAAAAACGAAAAGAAAAACTACCCGCCATAATAAACTATTGTACATTGTAACGTTGTAGATTTCGAGCGCACCGTAGAACGTATTGGTTTTATATATTAATATGATGTGCGTTTTTTAAAAAAAAAAACTGTTTGTCTCTAAATTGTACAATCACTTTTCTGACAACAAAATTTTGCTCCGATCTTCAAGTTTGGTATCATTTCTGAGATTCGCGTACCTAATCATATCTATTTTTTTTGATTTTCTTAATGAATGGCCAGAACCGAAAAAAATAAACGTAGGCGAAACGGAAAAATTTCCGGCAATAACGGTTTTGTTATTTTGATGTAATTCAGTTAAAAATAATTGTATGTAGACATGAAATTTTCTCAAAACAACCTTTAGCCTTAGTAAAATTTTCAAAACGTTCTGGATATTTCTAAGTAACTTATAGGCATTTGTTATTTTCGATTTTGTTTTTGTTTTTTTTTTTTTTTTTTTTTATAACCGTCCAATATGTCACGGAATTCCGAAACGTGTTTAACCGATGACTTGGCTTTAAAATCGTATTTCGTCAGCGACGGTTCATCGTTGTATACGCACAGATATCAATTATAATTTTAACAACTCCGTGCATCAGCTATCTTCCCGACTTTCCGACTACAGCAATGCACGTCCGTTGGCAGTATCAGTTCGTGTTTTTTTTTTTCCTTCAAATATTGAATAGTTCACGATTGTGTGTAGGTACCTATGTTCGTACTATTATTATAACTGGCACGACCGTTGGCCGTCGGGTCGAAATGGTTAACGTATATATGATGTGACAAGAGAAAGTCGCCGCGGTTAATATTATAGTACAATAGCAAATTTCTATATTATACACCGAACAGAGAAAGTTTGCGCACAAATTAACCGAAACTGTTTAGGTACACTTTCCATCGTATACCGATATTACATTGCGAAAAAAAATAACAATAAATATCCACCGCGTTATGCTGTTCGATTTAATATACATATAGGTATGCGCTTTCACGATATTTAGGTGTACCTAACTTTCAAAATTCGAATTACTTTAAAGTCAAAAAAAAAAAAAAAATCGAAACTGCGTATATTTTCTTGTTTAAACAAAAACCTCTATACGTGAACCGCAATATGATTATATTAGTAATTTTAAGGCAAATTATAAATTAGGCACCTACTTACCGAAACATATAAATTAAAAATTGATTTCGTTTTTTTTTTGACCAAATTATTGTTTTCACAAAACCGTATACGTAGTATTTTATTTTTACAATACGTTTTAATGCTTGTTATTGCTGTAATNCGTGAACCGCAATATGATTATACATACATAGTAAATAAGCTAGTAACAATAATTGCCATTACCAATAGTTATTTGATTTGAATTGTAATTTTAAGGCAAATTATAAATTAGGCACCTACTTACCGAAACATTTTTTTGACCAAATTATTGTTTTCACAAAACCGTATACGTAGTATTTTATTTTTACAATACGTTTTAATGCTTGTTATTGCTGTAATAATCGATAGGGATTATAATAATGATATAGGTATGATCTTCTTTTCAGCACAGCCAATCTTACGATTTGTTTGCAGCATAATATTCTCGACTCTAGAAGAATTACGAAATTCTTAGTCCATCAGTTTTTAGCACGTGTATTAACTTCAGTCGCGGTCTTTTCACCTTCCACGCACCCTTCTATATGATTAATCCAATCAACCCGACATGCCTCAGCAATACATGTTCAAAATCCATTAGTTTCTTCTTTTCTTGATGCTATTCCATAGAAATCTCTCATCTAATACTCTTCTAATACTTCTACGTTTGATACCGCTGTATATATAATTATATGATATGCCAACTAAAGGTCTATAAAAGTTAATAAATGAATAAATCCTATTGTAAAACCCTTATACAATGATGTCCACGGATATCAAATGGAATAATCTATACAATTATACAAATATATGTATATTGTATGTAGCTTATAGAGTTCCAATTTTGGGGCAATGAAGGTTATAAATTGAAGTCAACAGGGGGGGGAGCGATAGCAGTTAAATTTTCAACATTCCATTCCCTCTCTCCCGTAAAAAATCGCATAGTTTTATATTTACCTATGTGATATAATTTATCGTTATGTTCGGTGGTTGAAGCGGGAAAAACTTCGAAGGGCAATTATATTTACCAAAAATTGAAGGAAATTTCCGAAAATTAACTAAATCCGACCAAACATGCAGAAAACCCATCATGGAAACAAAAGATTTCCAAGGAACTCGGGAAAAATATAGTAAAACAGCCTATGTATAAAAAGATATTAAAGAATTTATTTTTCACAAAAGTAATTCCAATTTGTATAATAGTTCCATTAAAAATAACCCACAGATAATAACCAAAGCGCCTCTCGAGCTTCGAAGACTTTAAACTAAAAGAGACTGACAATTTTACCTTAAATAAGAATAGGAAAAGTAGGGGGGTCTAACCCCCTTATTATAACTACGAATTACAGTAACCTAATTAGGACTAAGTCATGGGAGGATCTTTCAATATACAAAAAAAAAAGTCACGGTCGATTTCGGTGCACACGAATTGCGTCCCGAAATCCCTTTTCCACATGAATTGCGTCCCGACAATATTTAACCACTACACGAATTTCATCCCAACGTAAAAAAAATTACATTCCTTCCCATTTTATACAGATTTAGGACTGTCAATAGAAAACTATTACTATCGATAGGTTAAAAATATTGATTTTTGTCGTTATTATGCAATTAGAAGTAATTTAAATGTAATAATTATAATCAAAAAAAATATAAAAATTAAAAAATTGGTAAAAACTTGAACGATACTTTTTTAATATAATCGAGACGAGTTAATTGGCCATTTTCATATTTTGTCTCAAAAACTCAGTTGTTGTCTATTAAACAGTTCAGCAGAATCTTTGATATGGTTATGATCAATTGCACGTTCTATAATTTCATTATTACCATTTAGTTTTATGTAGGACTTACACGATTTTTTTACAGCGATTTCAACGTTGAATATTGTTCTTTAATATTTTATGGTAACGCAATTTGTATCAATCTATATTAAATGAAGTTTTATTTTTTTCACTTAAAATCACTGTTGTCATTTTATGCGAGTACGATTTATTAAGAAAACTTAGAACGTAACAACGTTCACGATCCACCGTCCAAACCAGATTAAAAGTAAAATTAAAAATAATATAACATGGGAAATATAATGTTTAGATTGTACGGATATCGCGTAGTCGTTTAGATATAGCCGGACGCAATTAGTGTACCCACTTATCGAATTTTTTATTTCGGGACGCAATTGAGTGCAGCAATCTATTTGTACAAGTACACCGGTCCTTCCTCTCAAAATTATATAACAACCAAAAAGTCATATTTGTTTCATATCAACCATTGCTCGTAGGTAAATTCGACACCGGAAGGATACATTTTTTTTTATAAGAACACTACACTACATGTACAAAATATTTTTTAAAGTAATTAATAAAGTAGATAATATTAAAATGATATAATAATTTTCTTGGCTTTAGAACCAATTTCGTTTAAAACATCTTCTGGATCTACACAAACATTTTTATTAACTGATAACATTGCCAATCCGTTGAATCGATTCTAAAACACAAAATATTTGGTTATTAGATATTTAATGTTTGCGATATAAAATTCAAAAAAGTGTACACACCGAAGACCGAACAAATTAATAATTAATAATTTATCATTCACTTTTCAGTTTTTCACTAGTCATTTAACTAAATGGACAATGACTAAATGACTGCCACAAGTTAACTGATTAAATGTAATTTATTCTACTATTAAACTATTCCTATACGTGCACACACACATCAACTTTCATACACGCCCTAATACGTCTATGGCCTACATATAAATATGCGTTTCAACTATAACCGTGGTTTTGCGAAACCGGGTAATAGCCACAAAATAAACACGTGAACTGATAACGAGTAAAATGTATAATAGGCTATTGTGTACAAGATTACAGAAATTGTCAAATGTTAAAACATTAAACAATTAATTTTTGTTTTAAAATAATCGTTAGATCTGGTAGAAGTACGAAAAAAAAAACCACGGGGNGGGGGGGGGGGGGGGATTGAACACTCTAATCCTCTCCGTGATTACGCCACTGGCAGAGTATAGTATAGAGATGTTTATTCCGTTATGAGCACAAAACGTCGTAAATGTTAAACAAATGTTTCAATTTGAATTTAACTTTATCTGACGATCGAACGTTTCAAACCACACACGTAGTTTCGGATCAGTGAAAATATTATACACTATAGCGATTGAAACGGATTGTAAACTATACGAAATGTTTTGAAAACCGCTGTCGCGCTGTTCCATATATACATTTGTACCAAATGTGCATGCACAGCTGCAAGTAAAACATACATTTTTAGAAGACAAAAAACAACTGCAGCGTGAGTAAACGAATTCCGTTCGTATATTTGTCTCATTTTACAATATCACATGTGATATTATTTATATCGTATAACAAATTTCATTAAAAATGTATTGTTTGATCCAATGATAATGATTATCAGAACATTTAATACCAACATATTTTATGCTTTAAACGTCGTAATAAAATATTTATAGGCCTGTTTATATTATATGCATTACTGACTTAATATGTGTGAATATTTATACCGGCCAAAAATATTAAACGTCAATATTATTTCGTCGGTAATATACTATGCTATAAATATACATATATTACGAGTTAAAAAATGACAAATTTGGACACGATTTCATCAAAATTTTCAGCATTTTTACGAGGCTAAAAAGTGAATTTTCATAATTCAAAAAATAACTAGTCAAAATTTGAACTCTTAAACAAAACAATTGTTTTTTTCGGATTTACGATACCTTTATACCATCATGAAAACAACTCATAAGGAACTTTGTATATAATTTTTGTATAGTTCGTAATGAGTCAACAAAATGTTATCTATGTAAGTCAAAACAACATTCAACAAATTAAAATAGCTTTAAATAACTCAAAATTCGCCATGATAATACATTGCACACATTTAATATTTTCGTTTTTCCTACGGCGTTTACTTTTTATATTACTATAGATACGCATTACAAAGAAAATGGAAAAATTACTTCCTCGATGCACCAATTAAACCAAATTTTCTGTTGAAAACCGCCCATAAAATTCATGATAGAAACAATTAGACAATATGGAATAAGAAATAGTATTCTGGCCGAAAACTTGATTATTATAAACAGAAACAAATTTCTATACGAAATTAGAAAGATAGAAGGGAAATTTAGTGTATGTACGCAACGAATACCCGTCGCTAACGAAAAACGATTCTGAGCGGAGTTCGGTTAATAGTGTTATTTTGTGAAAAATATATATGTCACATAATGATACTATAATTACATTTATTTTTATTTCTATAATATTGTATCTATTTCCCGTTTTCCCTCCGATTTTTTCAATGTTTTTCCCATTTACTCTTGGGAAAATCAAAAATCAACCCCTCTAAATAGTATACCACTCCGGTCAAATTTCCTTTTAGAAAAAATGCTATCATTGTAAATTGGAACAAAATATTGCTGGTAGAAAAACTGTCTATAGAAAAAAACAAATAAATAACATTATTGTAAATAACCAATACATTTCTTGCTCCACTCCGAATCTAAAAAAAAAAGAGTTGATACTGCTGATGGATGTACCACTGTTATATGATGGAATATTGGCATGTCGGAAGTTATGATGTGTTAGGTAACTTAATCAGTGTCTGTACGGAACGAAAAACCATTGCTAACGAAAAATGATTCTGAGTGAAGTTCGTTTATAAAAACATACATGTATTTCGAAATTCCGTGAATTTTTACGATTTTCGTCAAAATTTAAACATTATAAACACTACAAAAATAAAAAAAACTAATTCATTATGCTCCCTTTTTGTCTAACCACTAAATGCATTTTAACCAAAACGTTTGACAATTTCATCACTTCTAAAAGTGCCTGTATAAAAAAAAATTAATTTTCCGAAAATCTATAATTTAAAATTGATAATTATTGTAATACATTTTTTTACATTACTTCAACAAAACGTTGACACAGGTCCATTTTGCAAGATGCCACGTGTATAAAAGATCCAATACGGGACAGAGACTATTTCTCTATTTTGGAAAAAGGATAAAATAAAAGCACACACGCGCTCGGGAAATTTTAACGGTATAGGTTGTCATGGTAAACAAAATTCATGAATCACGAATCAATCGTGGTGTTCTTCTGTTATACCGGTATCTGAAATCAAGGAAATGAGAATTTATCGGTCGGTTCCAAGAAACCAAATTTATGTTCAACAAATCGAGCCTTTTTTTCGTTGAACGTTACAAAGCTAAGCTTTAAGAATTAAAATTGCTGAATAAACACGTACAGTTGTTGTATTAAAAAACCTATTGGCGAGGAGAAGGGTGTAACACCCAACTTCCCTGCCGCCCTACACGCCATCGAATAGTGAGCATCGAGTGTTATATCACGGTAGGACCTATACATTTCGCATCTAATCTAAACGCTGACGGATCGGTCGAACGGCGTCTCTCGCCGTATTTTCACGTCGCCTGTACAGCTCCGTCAAGCTCTCCGCGTGTGTTCTATTTCCGGTGCGTTCTTCCATCATTCGTATCACGAACGGCGCGTCGGACGTTTCCCCTTCCGATTTTCGTTTTCCTTCTATCCCCTCGCGTACGTCCCGCGGCTATGCGTGGTGTCCGATCCGCGGTCCGCTTCTCGCCGTACGTCCCCCGCCGGTTTCCGAACGTCGTCCGTTCTCCCGGAAACCCCGCAGCCGTTCCTCGGTAATTTGCCCGGCGACGCCGTGCCGCGGACGATACCGCGGCCGTACGCGCGCGAATACATTTCGCCGGCGCACCGTGCCCGCCGCTGCCGCGAGTTCTTTGATTCGGCGGCCCGTCAACGGTTTCCGCGGACACGGCGCGACGGGGCGAGTTCGTCGAGTGCCCGGGCGCGCGCGACGCGACGGCGATCTGCAGCTACGGTAACGCCGGGCGCGTCGCGGCGCATTTCGGCGGTCCGCGCGCCCCCAAATCGACATCGCGTTGTCCGTTTCCGTTTCGCGCGGTTTCGGTTACCGTAACAGTTCACGGACGCATTTTGAAAAATCGACGCAATCGTAATTGTCGACAACGCAATACGCCGTCGTCGTGCGCGCGCATCACTGGTATTGTCGTTATTACGGTCCGACTGCACACCTACCACCTACGTAGCGTTCATAGCCTCCGGGCGATACGCTATTTATTTTATTTTGTTTTTTTTTTTTCCACGCTCAAAACGTCCGATCAAATTATATCGCCGACAAACAAATCGCATTGCGGTACGGGTCGGGCACTCGTAATATGCTCGGAAATATAACGCACTGTCAAACTGGACTTCCAGAAGAAAAAAAAAAAAAAAAAAAACAGACGCTTACATACACACAATATTATACGCGTACTTACCTGTATCAGTGTATTATATATGATGCGGGGGGGTAGAGCGTCGGTTTCGGTGCACGGGGCGGCGGATGGGAGGAAACGCATTAACTCCGTGTCGTTCGGTCGTACGGGCGCATACAGAGCGATTCTATTATCACGCGACTATACCGAACAGTGTGAAAAACGAATTCGATTTTTTCTTTCAAACAGCTAAAGAATCCGCTTGATTTCCAATCTTATTCCATTTTGTACCGTAAGATCTTTGGGTTTTCAAACATACAGCAACCCAAACGTTATTATAACAATTCGAACAGATAATATTACTGTTATGATAATTTCGACACGCACATTGTACAATGTACTACAGTCGCTGAAATCGGTTAGGTATTACACCGCGGTACAATGTATGATACGGATGGTATCGTACCGTTTTTGTGTTAACTTAAAGGTAATAAATTTCATGACACTCCCGTCGTTCTTACGCAGTTTACATTTTTTATATAATCCGCGGATTGCATCGCAATATTTCAGAAAATTAATTCCGTTTTCGAATCTTTTTTTTTTTTTTCCACACTAATCGAGAGTCGATACAGGTAGCGCGGTGTACGTCATACGGATTATGCGTAAAATGTCGAAAACATAATGTTGTAATTAATTAGATTAATTAATATCGTATTGTATAATATAATATCACGCAATAACGATTTTTCGCAGTTTGTACAGTAAGTAATATTGACATTTACAGACAATTGAAAAGAATAAGAAAAGAATTATGATAACGAATTAAAAAAAAAAAACAAAAACAAAAACGAAAACGCCGAATTCAAATTGAACGTCTCGGCGCGTTATCATTATCTCCGGTTCCGCGTTGAATTCAATCGCCCTGTATAACGATATAATATTGTATTATTCAATGTATTACAGCGCTGCAGCTAGCTGCACGAACCGCGGCGAGCCTGTTTTTGTTGGCCATCAATAATGCAGGTTCGCGTCAAACTCTAATTATAAGGCCACGAACACTATAGTTTCACGATGCGCGCGACGGTGTTCATTACATTTACGTGTACACTGTGCATAGGTACACGCGAGGTCGTGCTCTTGTCCTTATTTCTAATCGCACCAAGGTTTCCGGCGGTACCTATATCTGTATTAGGTGTGTATATACGTATACACGAGTATATAGATACAAGGTACGATTACTGTTTTCGGACAACAATCGAAATTATCCGTGGCCGGGGTTGAAAAACAAAAAAAATCATTATTTATTTAAAAAAAAACAAAACAAAATAGATATTATATTATTGCGGTTTAACGATAGTCGTTAGTTTTTTTTCTATAGTTTTTCCACGCGCTGTATACAGATTATTTGTAATTCGAGCGATTGTGTCTCGCGCTTGGAAATTGAAATATCGTAAAGAAAAAAAAAATGAAAAAAAACCGACGCGGTCGCGCAGATAACGTTCTTATCTTTGAGTTTGATTACAGCGGGTCAATTCACTCTGATATGAAAGCCAACGGCGCCAAGTTGTCCCTGGTGACACCGACGCGCCGTCCGTTTGTATAAGCAGACGGCGACAACATTGTAATGACATGCTGCGCGCCGTCAATAGGTAATTTATTCTCCGTTTGTTAACAACGATTATGTTTTTGGACGTGCCCGTTGAATAAAATATGAATCTCTGAGAAAAAAAAAAAAACGAAATGATAACACCGATAACGTTTAATACGTTAATATTGTTCTACAAGATCGGAACGGCAAAATGACGTACCCACGACTTATATAATAATAACCCTAGCCCGTAATTTATACGTTTACGCATTAGTATAAGAACACACACATTTTTTTTTTTTTTTCCGTTCGTATTATTATTTCATTTCTTGCGGTTTACTATACCGGTGTTTTGTATAATGTTGCAGTACACGCATATTTTGCGTATATAGTTCAACGTCCTAACTCCTATCGCTATACACATATACACACATATATGTATATATTTGTATGCATACGCAATAAACATATTATACGATGTCGTGTCAATTTGAAATTAAAATTAAAAATGATACTCGCGATTACGAAAATCGTAATAAATTCGCAACATAAGCTGGTATATGTCTAACCGTTTTTTCAACAAACAACGAAAACCATTACGCGCTATATTAATGTGTTTACGTTCGTTTAACTTTTTTTGGGACACGCGCTGAGAACACTGCTTGTTATATTATTTATATTGTTATATTGTTTGAAATTTAGTTTTTGATTAGTATATAATATCGTGTGAGCGAATAGTGTTTTTGTTTTTGTGGTGGGATAATTTTATAACTATAAATGCATACGTCACTGTATAAAAACTAATAGTAGCGGTAACGTCCGTGGGCGCGTTTGGCAGCCAAAATGAGAGTATGCATTTGTGTACATATTCTGTAAAAATAAATGTTCGACAAATTTCACGCGAGTGTGAGACGACGTTTTTCGGACTTGATATACTAAAACCGCCATAGAAAAAGCGCATATTATGTTATATAGCTTACGATTATTATAGGGTCATTTTTTTTTAATAAATATTCACTGCGTATCCGCTACCACCTACCATAAAAAAAAAAAACTCCACTATCAGATAGACCAAACCTTTCCCTTGACTTTTGGATTCTTACCGGTTACCTCTCCCCTAGCCATGTGAGAATATTTCTGTATCATAATAAATACAATATAAGTTTGTTACAAAATCTACTAATTCGATTAATCAATAATTATAATTATTGAATAATAATTATTACCGTTTATTTTTTAGTGCAGGACACGCAGTAAGCAAAATGATATCGCACTGCAGGGCGGACGTTACTTTGTGTCAACCCGAACGGAAGAAAATTCCTTAAAAAATGCCACGATTATAATTATAAACGTATCAATAAATACTTTTACTATCACGTTTCTTCTATTTGGTTGTTTTCGCAACAGTCATTTTTAGATTCTGAGTGGAGTGAAGAAGCTTATGGTTTTACTAAGATGTTTATTTTATTTTTTCTTTGGACAACTTTTCTACCAGAGATTTACTCTGATTTTTACGTGTAGCAACTTTTATGAAAGAAAATCAGTGTGAGAAGGTACCTTAAAGAGATAATTACTAGATTTTCTCAATAGTTTTATCATATAATGCGAAAAACCGAAAAAAAAATAGGAAAATTTACGAAATATATTTATATAATATTACGGCATTTTTTTCCCGCGGACAACTTTTCTACCAACAATTTTGCTCCAAATTATAATAATAGCAATTTTTCTAAAAGGAAATTTCACTGGGGAGGTACTTTAAAGAGGTCGTTTTACGATTTTCTCAGCAAATGTGTAAAACCGGGAAAAATGTAGGAAAACCGGGGAAATCGGTACAACATTAAACAAATATTATTAATGAAAATGTATAGATCCTATTTAATTATTTTACTACCTATAATAATATATCATATTATGGCATATATACTGTTGACAAAACGTCACTGTCAATTAAACTCTGCTCAGAATCGTTTTTTTCCGTAAGCAATGGTTTATTGTTGCTTCAAATAAACATTAAATTACCTATAATATCGGCTGCATCCGTCCCCATTATCCTGGCACGTCTTTTTTAACTATAGAAATACAAATTGAAATGCCTATGATACTCGTGTAGGTATTCGTTCAAGTAATATAGTACATGTACACTGTATACGTGTACACTGTATATATGTATAGGTATGTCTTATTTACATTTAAATAAAAAGGGCAGTGTGTATTGCGTTACCCTATTATTAGCGACGGTTTCGGATAAAATAAGGGGCGACCGGATTTATAGGAAGGGTTGATCTCGACCCTTTTGTCCAAAAAAAAAAAAAAAATATCACAAAATTACAACACGGTGATTTAACGACGCACATGGGATAAATTCCACCGCCGTCACAGTCTTTTGTTCGAAATCGTAAAATATAATATTACATAATGTATTCGCGTGTATGTATTTCGTCCGTCTGGTGAGTTTGTATTGTTACGCATTATATTTGTATACGAATAAAATATATTCCGAGCCGTTCGGTACAACGAACTATCGAATTCGTTCGATTGTACGCGTACAATTCGATTGCCGTGTGCGTGTGCACATGTAGGTACACGTGTGAAGTGTAACAACGGAAAGATTCTTTTTCTTTTCTTTTTTTTTTTTTTCTTTCAATATTTATCATTTTTGTCGGGCATTCGGACCGCATAGGCGTGACTATATACGGTGGCAG